AGGCTACAGACAAGTAATAGGTTTCGCTTCTTGTAAGGTATCAATTTGGGGGGGGAAGGAAGGAGGTTTTTAAGAGAGGGAACGCGGATGGTCATTTTATGCCTCGGACACTACAGGTACTGAGCGACAACAGCGTGACAAGGGAAGAGCGGCAGGTCCGAGCAGAAGGTGCGTGAAATGTGAAAAGAAATGCCACGAAAAGGCCGCTTAGGGTATCCGGATCTCACCTTCGAAACCAACGGCACCTTTTTCGTGCTCTTTTCCTTTCTTCGATATTAGGGCTGATGGCGCTTGGCAGGGCGTTCAAGGAGCGCTCGAGGCAGGCCTTGGCGAAGGCGGGGGGAGCGGTGGACTATCAGAAGGAATGGGAGGCGCTGGACAGGCAGTTTATGCACCGGTAGGGCGCTAAGAGCTACCCAGATGAAAGGGCGGTTGAGGGGAAAGAGGGCGTCGAAGCTGTGGCTTCGGAGATCCACAAGGAAAAAAGACAGGGGGGGATGGAGGGCGGGGAAGTCGGTGGTGTGTCTACGAGGCATCTCCGTCCTGTGTTTGTCTCCCTAGTGTGCATGCACCCGTGTACCCTAGTGGACTCCTCTGTCGTCTCTTTGAGCTTTTTTCGGTCCCCACATGCCTCTTCTCTGTCGCCCTCGCTTACTCTCTCTTTCCGCTTCGGCAGGTACGAATCCTCGACCTCCATACACACCATGGCCTCCTCGAATTCCTCCCCCTCCTTCCCCACGGACCTGCAGCAGAAGCAGTACGACCAGCCTTTCTCAGAAGAGCTGTTGGCGGAGGAACGAGGGGAGGAGGAAGCGGCCGGGATCGTTCTGTAGATAGTGCGTGTTGGGGGACATAGATTTGCTGATATTGTGTTTAGATGGTCAAAGGTTGAAATGTTGATGCCAAAAACGACTTGTTTCTCAATTGTTGAGTGAAAGGCGTAGGCCGGTGCTTTCCCGCGACAATTTGTGTGTAAAATTTTTTAAGTCAAGGTTCTAGCTGATCAGTACTCAGACCCGTGAGCTTCTTGAAAGTGAAGGAACCAAGCACAAAAGGAGGCGGGACTGTCCTTCCTGTTTCTTTTAAGCTCCATCTTCAAGCGCTTTCCCCTTCCGATCAACGTCTCCTCTGGCTTCGCGACCGCCCGCAAGACCTGCCACGCATGCTTAAGCCGTGCCGGAGAAAGAGCTTATTTATTTCTCAGCGCCTATCTTTGGAACCCCAGATCCACGCACGCTCCAGATTTATAGTACGGTCAGAAGGGTGCATGCTGCAAGAGGATGCAGGAGACCGTACGAGGGAAAAGGAGGTCCACGCGCCTCTTTCATCCCATGTTCCTCGCTTTTCAGCATACCTTGTGTCCTCACACGTCGTTTATGGGAGGCCATGATCATTTCCCCTTCCTATCAATGTCTCCTCTGGCTTCGCGATCGCCCGCAAGATCCGCCGCGCATGCTTAAGCCGTGCGAGGAGGCGAGGTCTCCCCTCGCATCTATATATCGTCAGGCGCTGTCCGAGGTGCTTTGCGAGGCAGGATACTACTCGTAGGCGGAGTGGTCGACGAGACAGAAACGCTGATAAAGGCAAGCAAATCGCCATTTATATTGGCACTTGGGAACATTTCCCCACCGTTTACAATCTTCGCAAATTTTCTTTCAAAAAGGAAGGAGAAGGCACCTAGTCTACGAGCGTTTACCTTGTTAAATTCAAATCGCCCTCCTTCATCCACATCCACACGCAACCACTATACTAACCGTGTTATCAAC